CTTACTAATTATCTTTCTATTATTTTAGAAGAGCTTTGTATTGAGAAAAGTCAAGAAAAAAATACGATTGATGAATTAGTACATAAACAAGGTCAAACGGAATATAAGAAAAAATACTTAGTTTATCAAACCTCCAACATCAATAATAAGAAGCAGGTTTGTTCTACATGCCGTAGTAAATTACCAACCATTGCTGAGATAAATCAGCAATCTAACGAACCACTTGAGATTATAAATACCACTGAAAAATCACTAGTTATTCATTCTCATACATTTAAAGGATCAAGTAAACCACAAGCTATTTCAGAAAGTGAGGATACACCACAAATATTTATTCCAGATCCAATAGGAATTAATCTAAACTCGATTGCTAATGTTCGAAAAGTTCTTGAACACATTGAAGAAATATCTGGAATTAAAAATGATAGCCGTAAATGGATCGTAGTCACTTACTTGTGATGAAGTACCATATCATCATATACAAAAAATAAAAAAGGATTTTTCTTGGCTTATATTAATTCTGAGTGCTCTTTACGAAGAAATGAACATGTTAAAAGCATTTGTCAAGTTAAATTGGAATATTGATATTAAAGATTTTACTCAATGTCAAGGGTATTGAACTGAAAATCAACTTTGGTTTTTCAAAAAATGTTCTGATCATCATAAGTCATAGGACTCGATATGTAATATATATAGGCATGCAATGGTTTCTGAATTAATGTGGCCATATATTATTTTCGAAGAAAATCCTTCTGTTGAAGGTTATTTAAAATAGGCTCAAGATCAAACTGATTCTACATTTAAATTAAAGTATGAACAAATTTTTTTTATTTGCAAGCAATCATTAACTTTCGTACTGGGATTCGTTTTAATAGGCCTTCATTAAGAATTATAGCTAGACGAATATTTGCACCTATTTGGTCTGCTCGATGACATCCAATTTATTGATTAATTGAGATTACTGATAAAGAACAAATGTTACGATTAAAACCTGAAATATATAGTTTAATCCAAAAAAAAATTATAACTTCACGATTTAAACTTTTAGATCAACATCAAGGTTATGATGCAATACTTGAAGAAATTAACAAGGCACTCAAGTCATTAATTCCTCCTATACCTTCACAGCGACATTGGGAAATTGCAGCATGTAATTGTACCAAATTTTTAAAGTTGCGTGCTAATCTTTTTAATATAATAGGATTTTCTGAAAGTGAAACTCATGGGCCTCGTACTCATTCTGGTTTTATTGCTGAATCATGTCGATTTCAGGTTCAAATAAGAAAAACTCAATTTGTAAATCCAAATATCAGTAATCGTATTTTTCAAAATATAAGTGGAGATTGGACCTTAAGTGAAGAAATGGAAAGATTTAGTGAAATTGCATGTATGAAAAGAATTGAATTTATTAAAGCAAAGCTAATTAAAAAAATATCATTAGGCACTTGACATCCAATTCCTGTAATATGTGAAAAAGCGGATCTTCAGAAAGCTGAGAGTTCCTTAACAAAAGTACAAATTTTATCTATTATTAACTCTTTAACTCCTTTTTTAGGTGATTTAGATCAATCGCATTTTCGAGGTTTATCAAGTAAATCCTGTGTTGATTTAGTAAATATTCTTCAAGAGATTAGAAATATATTGGCTGAAAATAGCATTAATACTAACGAAGAAACATAATATTTGAATAATCTATTTATTTATTTATAATGTATTCAAAAATTTTGTACATTACCAACTAATATTATCAAATAAATAAAATATTAAGATATTATTAAATGAAATACTATTGCTATTAATTACATAATTCATGAAACAAGTTATAAAGCTAAAGCACTGATTCAAGAGAAATTCTATGATCCAGAAGCCATTCCTATAAAAAAAGAAAGAAAAAAGAATGTTAGTAACGTTCTTTCTCAAAGAAGAACCCCACCCATTCAAAGTATACCTTCCAAGAGCTGATCCAAGAGAAATTCTGTGGTCCAAGGTTCTTAGAAACCGTTCCTACAAAAAAGAAAGAGAAAAAAGAATGTTAGTAACGTTCTTTCTCAAGGAAGAATCTCACCCCATTCAAAACCTACCTTCCAAGAGCCGATCTGAGAGAAATTCCATAATCCAAATAATCTTAGAAGCCGTTCCTATAAAAAAGAAAGAAAAAAAAACGTTAGAAACATTCTTTCTCAAAGAAGAATCCTACCCCATCAAAACCTACCTTCCAAGAGCTGATTCAAGAGAAATTCCATGGTCCAAAGGTTCTTATAAGCCATTCCTACAAAAAAGAGAAAAAAAAGAACGTTAGAAACGTTCTTTCTCAAAGAAGAACTCCACCCCATTCAAACCCTACCTTCCAAGAGCTGACCCAAGAGAATTTCCATAATCCAAATGTTCTTAGAAGCTGTTCCTACAAAAAAGAAAAAAAAGAACATTAGTAACGTTCTTTCTCAAAGAAGAATTCCACCCATTCAACACCTACCCTCAAGAGCTGATCCAAGAGAAATTCCAAGAGCCAAAGGTTACTAGAAGTTGTTCCTACAAAAAAAATAAAGGAAAAAGAACATTAGTAACATTTTTTCTTAATGAAGAACTCCACTCATTTCGCCCGAAACTTACCGAAAGATATATCTCCAAGAAAATTCAGAATCCGAAGCTGTTCCTACAAAAAAAGGAGGGAGAAAAAGAGAAAGAAAGGAAGAGGGGGAGAGGGGGAGAGGGAGAGAGGGAGAGGGAGAAAAGGAGTAAAAAAAAATTAAAATTAAAATAAAAAAGAAACTTATTAATGAATTGCTCTGGACGACGGTCACGGTCGATTGATTATGTAATCGTTCAGCATACCACGCAAAAGGTCCCGCATCTCCACTAAAAATAATAAAAAAAAAAGAAATTAAAAAAAACATAAGCCACCGGTCACGGTTAATATATTTAATATATTTCAGTTTGTCGATCATTTATAATTTTAGAATGATCGGCGAATTTTTATGAACTTCTAGAATGTCGATCATTTGTCGATCAACACTGTATTTAGAAATTCTATATTTGGTAAAATCCCTGACTATATATGTAAATCCACGATTTCATTAAATTATATACTGTATATTCATTTCCATACAAATTACAATAGAGATTCTACATTTCTATAATAACAGTAATAATTCAATCAAACAACAATAATAATAACCTTGACCTTTTTAAAATTACTGCGGAATGATAGCATTTGAAATATTTTGTATTTGCGTTTAATTGGTAATACAATAAAATAAATAAAATAAAAAAAATTTTTTAAATTAAAATATGATACAGTTTATTCTATATATACAAATATATTTTTTTAAAGTTAACAATAAAAAAAGATACAAATATACACTTTTTTCAAAATATTCTATATTTTTTTCCTTTCAATTTGTTATTTAGGCGCACGATACGTCGGATAGATATATCATAATATATGAGGCTTCTGCATTCAAAGGAAAAGGTTTAACTTTAATTAAGACAATCTAATCTAAAAATTAGATTTACTGTACATAAATTTGCTAACGTACTTTCTCCCCTTATTGGTGTACTGTATATGTCCGTTCTCCCCTTTCAACGATCCATTGGTGTACTGTATTGTATGTATCCGTGAAACAAACAAACAAAAACAAATTTTTTATGTCATACTACGAACGTTACGGCGTTATAGTTGTTTTTTATTTATTATTTTTTATTATTTCTTGTAGGCCTTTCAGCAAAAAAAAAATTTTTTTTTTTACATAAAACAAAATGATTTTCGTTACTACATGAACAAAATATTCTTTCAACCATATGTTTTCTTTATATCATCTTATTCTATAATTTTTTTTTTTATAACGTTAACCAATAAAACAAATTACATCGTTTACATAATACAAATAAAATTTTTTTAAATATTAAAAGCTAAATGAACGCGATATACCTATATTGGATAACTTCAATGATAATCTTGCAAAGGCTATTGAAAATTCATTCAGGAGTATGTGTCCTTCACTGAATTATTGAAGTGGAACGGCGAGTCCGGTAGGTATGTATTATTTGCAAATAATAAATAGTAATCATTCATCATCGATTCGTTTAATTATTATGTTAAAACGCTTACCCTTTATATTTATAATATTTGTTAAGATAGAAAATTGTAAAATAATACTTGTTTATCTATCGGCTGATTTGTTAAATCACTTTTTGTTCACTGACGAGAAACTTACATGTTATGATTTTTACACTTTATTAATTATTAATGAGGGCCCTTTTGTAAAGTTTCTAATTCAAGTATTAAAGAATTTAAATCTCGATGTATTGTTTTCATTACATAGAATGATTGCATTTGTTTTCCAAAGTACCCGTTAATCTCTTCCCCTTCCATTAGGTTCGTTGTTAAATTTGTTAAATTTCAATTTGCTCGATAACGACAGATGGATTAACACTTTTTTATATTTCTTACTTTTAAATTTAATCACTTAATTTTTACTTCTTTACCCAGAGAAAAGTAAAGGGAAAATTTTTTTCACTATCATTTTGTATATCAACATTCTCAGTAAAAAAAATTCAAATGCCGGAATGTTCTTTTTGAAAGGTCCCAAAATTCTTTGTTTAGATCTGCACTCGTCAAATTTTGAAATACAACTAAAAAAAAAAAAATAGGTTATGATTTATTCGACGTTCGGAATAAACAATCATTTTTGATTTAGTTTTGTTAGACCGGTTATTACCAAATATTTCAGCCAGACATAACTATTTTAGTTAAGTTGTTATGCATGATGAAAGTATTGTTTCCGATTTTGCGTTTTGATCTAATGCATTGGTAAACACATCACTATAAAATAATACAAATAGTGTACACAATATTATTAATAATTATATTATTATTAAATATTTGTTACATTGTACCTTTTCAAATTTTGAAAGATGTGCGTGAAGCCTCAAATAAATAAATTCAGTGAGAATGACTTTTTTGGCTTAAACCTGCATCGTTTTCAGAAAATTAGAAAAACTTCTTTTTACAGTGTAAAAAAAATTTGTTTCTAATTATAGATCAAGTTTAATATTATATATATATGTGATGTTTTGACTCAAATTCTCTCATCAAATTTTTTTATTCCTTTTCACAACTCTTGGTCTTTCTAAAAAAAAAAAAAAAATTATTTCGCGATTCTCTTTTGGTTTACGTTTTTTTTCGCTCCCTTCATTTAGAAAAAAAAAAAATCTTTTTTTTATCGCGTTGAATAATATTTTTTTTTCATTAGACAAAAAAAAATCGACTCTTCATTCATTATAATAGAAAGTATCTCTGAATACCTTCCATTAGTAAAAAGTATATATTTTTTATTAATTTAACAAATCAATAAATTACACGTTATTCAATATGGAACATAATAAACCCTCACAAAATAACAATGATAATGGTTATCCATCAAATATAAATTATAACTATAATCCACCCATGATGAACAATAATAGTTCAATGTATTACGGAGATGCTAATTCGCATCGACAACAATCTATGGCCGACTCTAATGCTTCAGCTCAACAGTACCCTTCACATACTGGTCATGCTAATGCCAATCCACCGCTATCCGCAAACTATATTCCTAACCCTAACCCTTTCCAACCAAGTCATAACATCTTTAGTTTTGACATTCCTGGCTTTAAGATTATTATCATACCTGTAGACAATTCTAATTCAAATTTTGCTAATAATAGCTTTCAAACTCAATATCAACAATCATTTAATAATTTTAATAATTTTAGTGGCTAGGAGTTCATTTATTTCTAATTATAAAAGTATATTTTATTTTACGTTATATTTAACGTTGTATTTTTCGAGTAATTCTTTAATTACTATTTTTTTTTAAATAAATGAATAAATAAATAAATCTTATCCATTAGTTGCTATACAAATTCTACGGAGAATGTCGATGTAACAATTTGTATTATTTTTAAAATTACCTATATATAAAGAGAATTACACCAGGTTGAAAAGAAGGATGCTGGAGTATCTGGATCGTTTGCAATTAAAATAAAATCGAGTTATGAGACAAAATGATATTTAATAGCAATTCTCCCATTGGAATAGCCTTACAAGATAATCTAAAATGAAATCATATGTTTCGTATGCCTCGTTACTTGAATTTAATATAATTTAACGAAATTAGTTTCGTGTTATTTGTACCTCTGTAAAGGTTGGGAAACCTGTAATTATAAGATAAATTGACATTGTACTCTTTTATTAACCTTGTAATTTCCAACCTGCTGCCTTAAAAAGAATATTTAATAGTAATAATGTAGATAATAAAATTTTATCATATCATAAAAACTTCTTTAGGTAGAACTATCTACCGTGGCTCACAAATGAAATGGAAACAGACGTTCAAATTTTATAAAATTAGAATATCATTGCTTTAGATGATTAAACAAAAATAAAATTAGTTTTAAATCACCGGGACTTAGTAATTATTTTTCGTTGATTTTATTGTAAATTGTTTTTTTGTTAATTAGATATTAATCACTTTATCCCTTTTCATGTTCTATTTCTTTGGATCGATCTTGAGGCAAAAGGCTTTGTGATCTTTAGTAAGTAATTATTTAATTTTTTTTTTAATTTTTTTTATATATAAGAATGTTGCCACGGTAAATATGATCATTGAAGTGTTTTTATTTTTTAATGCCTTATACTGTATATCGCAAGAAAAACGCTCTTGTATATATACCCTTTATAAAGAGTGTTATTCAACTAAAACTACTGCTAAAATGGAAATTGTTGGTCATCAGTTTTACGAATATATCGAAAAAGAAACAACTGGAAATTTTAATGATAAACCCAAATTTGGTCATCCGCGTATCGTTTATGGACATTATGAAAGGAGAATTGTCAGACTGATTACATCTGGAAAATGCTCAACAGCTGTAAAAGTGCATTCACAGGCGATCTAATAAATATTTCAGTTGAGACTATGGGCTAGTTGCATGAATAAAGCAAAAGAAACCCTTGCTTAAAAAACTCATAAAAAATCGATTAGCATGAGCAAAATGATATCGCAAATGGACAAGTAATGATTGGAGAAAGGTGATGTGGTCAGATGAGTCAAAGTTTCTTTTATTTGACTCTGACAGAAGACAATATGTTGAAGAAACTTTAAATGATCGAGATGTAATACTAACGGTCAAATTTGGTAGTTGTGAAATAATGGTCTGGAGTTGTATGACGACCAAGGGTATTGGTAATTTGGTAATCTGATTAGGATCGAAGGAAATATGAATGGCGAGCTATATAGACAATTAATGAAAGGTAGCCTTTTACCTTCACTTTTGCGACTTGACCTAGATAAAAATAATATTATTTATCAACAGAAAATGATCCTAAACACACCGCTAATTTGACCAAAGAATGGTTTTATTAGAGTACTTGATTGGCCATCTCAATCTCTGATTTGAATTTTATTGAATACATTTGGAATGAAGTTGATAGACGTCTACGTAATCTTAAAATTTCATCTTCAAATAAAAATAATTTGTGAGAGAATTTAAAGATCGTGTGAAATAGTATTGGAGTTGATTATTGTAATCAACTAAAAGAATAAATGATGTAATAAAGGCACAGGGTGGATGTAGACTTATGATATGTCAAGGTTTACAACTTTTAAATTTTCTCATCTTGAATAATTTAATGCGTAGTAGCGTATCCAAAAATGGTTAAAAGAAATGGAACGCTAATCAAAAATAAACTTTAATATTTTACTTAGTTATTAAATTTAAATAAATAAAATATTATTACCCGAATATTGGCAAATCAAATGAAGTTATTTTTATCTTTGTACGACCCTTTGGGAAAAAAATATTCATATTTCAAAAAATTTGATCGTCCGTTCCATTACTTTTGTGAGCCACGGTAACAAAAAGGGTAAAGTCAGATCGGTAAATAGCGACGTTCAATTTCCAAATCAGGCTGTCGACGTAAAAGAATGGTCCTATATAAAAAATTTTTTTTTCCAAAATAGGATAGGTTATTCTAGAATATATTTATTAAAATAAAAAAAATTTTTTTAATTCCTTATAAACCCCCTAAAAAAAATAAAAATAAAAAGGAAACAATCCAACGTAAACTGTAAATCATACAATATATATATATATATATTATTGTAGAGTAGTTTATTTATAAGTACTTCAAAAAAAAAAAAGATTTTGATTACCGTTTAATTCATTTTATATTTCCGACATACGATTTTGAATTCTTCATGAAAAAGATTTTCTCTTTTACATAAGTGTTATTAAATAGGCATCAAAGGCTGCTCATGACAAACGGATTCTCGAGTTGTCATATAACAATTCAACAAATGTATATTTTTAATTTAATTTTTTCTTTATTGAAACAAAGAAAAAAAAAACAAAAATTTTGTTTGCGACCAAATTAAAAAAAAAATTATTATTTTGGTATCCTTTAACTCGGTCGTGTCGGTAATTTGGTTTTATAAAATAAATATATATGTAAGCTTTGATCATCCGATTCCTTACGTGTACTTAAAAAAAAATAAATTTTTTTTTTGTTTTTTTTTTAATTTATAAATTTATTAATTACAAATAAAATTATTATTCAAGATGGAACTTAAAAATTGTTTATAATAATCCTTCACAAAATAACAATAATAGCTATTTGCACCCTTAACTGATATTCGTCCATCGATTATTAATTACGGTTACACAAATAATCATCAAATAATGAAAATAATAGTTCCGAAGTTGCTAATACGCATCGTCAACCATCTATGGCAGGCTCTAATGCTTCAACCCTCCATCGTATGCCTTACTTACTAGTCAAGCTAATGCTGATCCACCGTTATCCGCTAACAATATCCCTTATCCCTGACTTGAAGATTATTTATTATCAAAAAAGTAGACAATGCTACTTCAAATATCACGTGGTTTCGTTATGCGCAGAAAACACCAGTCATACAGCGTGCCTATTGTGCAATGGGGCATCTCTGGTCACGTGTCGCAAACGCTACCCAAGGCTGGCCTAGCCGCATCAGCCGCAGTATTGCATAAGGAAAAAGAAATGTTCAAAATTGGCAAATTTTATGGGATCCTAAAGTTTTAAACTTTAAGAAATTCTTGGATTCCAAGAGGATTTATTATTTATTTTCTATAAGTAGCTCATTAAAACATTATAAAGACAAGTTTCATGAGAAATTTATAAAATAATTCTTTATAATTTTCTTGGGGACTTTTAGGACCGCTTAACATCCCTACCCCAACTTAATGGTTCCACGAAAATTTTCCTTTTTAAAAAATATTCAGGGTATCTTATTAGTAGAAAAGCGATTAGACTTAGAAATTTCTAAAATCATTTGGGACTATATACACTAATTTTAAGAACCACGAAAAAAGGTAAATTTGTTTGCTTTTTTGTGATAATAAAATTTTATTTTAAGCGAATTATACTTCGTATATGATTCTTTCATTCAATTTTTTTTCGTCGATCACGAATTTTATCATCGTTATGGGTTTCTTATTCTACACTCGAAATAAAAAAAAAGCTTGTTTAAAAAGTAAACACAATATTAAATTTATTAGATATTACATCAATTCTCACGACATCCTTATAATTTGGGATCACGTATAAATGATAAAAGTAATACGATCCATTTAAGACTTGCTTTTATTAGCGAGTAATTTTTTCTCAAAATAGAATTTATTAAAGCAATTCGATTTATTAACAAGCATTACTATTTTATTTTTAAAAAGATTTTTTATTGATAACTAAACCTACCATACTAAAGCGAGTAAGCAGCACATTCATAAAAATTATCAATCACTTGAAATTATCTAATTAAATTATAAAATATAAGAGATATAATATATCGAAAATAAATCACTTGACTGAATATATTTAGAAGTTTGCCATTTCGGATTATATGACTCGTAACTTGATTTTATAGAATTATTCACTTTGGGTAGTTCAAATCAATTCAACCTTTACAGTACGTCTTGTATATAATCCACCTTTAAACTCAAATCTGGGTAAGTAGAGCAAATACCTTTCCAGGAGAAATTGTTTTCCCGCTTTATTTTTTATTATTGAAATCAAACAAATCCCGCTCTTCATTGCCCAGTTAACGTAACCTTGGAACTAGAAACAATAAGAAATGTCACAACTGTTCTGATTCGAATGATAACATCTTATTAAATTGATGAGAATATATAAAGAATTCATAATTTTATTACCATATATACATTCAAATACAAATCATTTTTCGCTCTTACAAACATATACCTTAAAAAATAACTTAAAGCCATATATACATATATCATAATTAATTTAAAATAAAGGAAATAACTTATGAAGATTAATTCAAATAAGCAAGCATTCAATTTGAAATTTATCTATAATGTAAAAATAATTCATTAATGATTTTAAGTTCATAATGTACGATAGAAATTGTCAATATAGATTATCAAAGTGAAGCTCAGAAATTAAGGAATGCGATATAAAGTTGAATTCTTACACATTTAAAAAAGAAAAATCTTTTTTTTTAATTTCAAAATAATGAAGCCCCATTAAAGAATTCATTAATAAGCAAATCGCGTGAGAATTGTGTAGAGAGGTTAGCGATTCGATTCAACGTGTCTTCGTTGATTCGAACGCGTGTTCGATATATATTATTAGCATTTGCATTTCGTTGCCTTCTATGTCTTCTTCTTTGATTAATTCGTCTTGGAGGTCGTATTCTAAGTGTCCAATTGTCGTTATCAAAGGTAATTAAAGGACTAATTGAAGACATTTTTTCGTATGTTATTATTGATTACTAGTAATTGAGAAATTTAATTGTATATGGAGAAGGTTGTTTTCAACCTGTATTTATAGCTTAAGCGGATATGAACTTATTATTCAGTAAGACAAACATAACCAAGCCCCAAGTGCCCTATTAATTATAAAATTTAAAAATGAGAGTCGATTTTTTATATTATAGATCATGTGAGGAACATTTCGCATTACACACTAACCGTTAAAATATACTGAGTTACCTCAAAATGCCCACAAATGTTAAATTGATTAAAACTTCTCTCGGTACGGTGCATCGTGGTGTAATTTGAATTCTGCCTCGATTCTTAATAGTTACCAGGATCTCTCTTTAGAAAAAAATCAAAGAGACCTTCACGGTGTACCGCTTGGACCAAAGTATTTAAAATAATGCCGATTTCCGTGATTTCCGTGATTTAGTAAGCAACATTGTGACAAAAAAAACATGGAGTATAAATGAATAAAACTTTCAAGGAACAAAGAAACATTTATTTTCTATTGTTGATTTATTTTTTACACACACACAATATAATAAATATCTTTAAGTTGATCTCGGTTCACAAAGCTTGTTCAATTAGAATTCAAGTTGAATAAAAAGTTTACGAATTTTGATATTGCATATATTGCATACGGAAAAATATACCGAAATAAATTATCGTACAATCCCGAAAATACTTCTTTTTATTAAGAATTCACGTATTTACTTAATTTAAATCATGTTTCACAAAAAAAACCCGAATTTTTCTTTTAGAATTTTGTAATTACTACATATGTCACACATAATTCGATATCATATCTATATCCGCAGTAAAAAGAAAATCATCATATTCGGTGTAATATAGTACAAGAAATTTCATTAGACCAGGCCAGAATCAATTTATTTTAACGGCATGTGGTTTGATCTTCCACGTGCAAACTCATAAAAGTAATTGATCTGCGCACTAATCCAAATTTGGTTATTTACTACTCATTATCAAATTCTATCAAATTAAGAGAGTCCTTAAATGACAAAAAGGAAGTTTATGGCTTCCCTTTCAATATTCACAAAAAAGAGTTGATTAATGACTTTTAAGGTTAACTTCGGCTAAAACGGGAGAATCAATAATGATCTAGATTATTTCTTAGTAAGTCGTCA